CGCTCTTCCCCTTGAAAGGTCGTAGTACGTGTGCATTAAGTCAAAGTTGAGTTTAGAAACATTAGAGTTCTTGAGAATCTGTAAGATATGCTGGTGCTGGTTCAGGAAATAAGACTGCCAAAGTAGTGGATGTGCCACAAAGGTGTGGATGGCAGTGCTTCCTGTATTTCAGAATCTTCTGAAAGGTCTGTAGTATCAAACTCGTCAGCACAGAGTAGCTGTTCAGGTTAAGGTGGTTTCCTGAATGATTGCTGCTGTGAGCCTCTGTAACACAAATCCAGTTCTGTGGATATAGAAGAAAACATTTTATGTGTCACTTTGTTGTAAAACTGTCCCAGTTCATGGCCAGATGCAGTAGAGATGTGCTCGTTGAAAAAAAATGCCTGGTCAAGTTTCAGCAACCAACGAAACAGACTTAGGCTTGGCATGCAAGCTGAAAACAAATTAGTAATGTTAACATTTAGCTTCTAAAGATTAAAAGGAAAGGAAATCTATTTCTAGAGGCCGTCACTTCCTAAGAAAATAAGTCTCCTGGGTGCATGAAGCTGCTGTTACAATTTGGGGTATATTTCTGTTGGTTGTATTTTCTAAACGTAGTGTTAGTGAGTGAGTTGCAGTTAAGGGTATGAAAATGTGGTTGAAGAATTGTAGTCTGTCCTACAGTTTTTGTTTGGGTAGGGGATTTTTTGTCTTGTTTGGGTTTTTTTCTCACCCTCATTTGGAAAAATTGTGGCCTTTGAATGCAGCTGACAAGGACGCGTGGTGTAACTGATAACACATAACATGCTGATAGTTTGTGTCCCAGTGTTTTAACTTTGCATTTCTCTGTCATTAGTGGTTTTTACGTAGAGTATGTTGGAACAGAGCAGGCGTTTCAGCGTAGAGAATCGGCAACTTATTTTACATTCTCTGTGTATTCCATATTCTGTTTGTTTGAAAGACTAAAATAAACTGTCAGTGTTCTCCACTCTTATTAACGTTGTCACGATAGCTGTAAGAGACAGAGAAAATTATTCTGCGGTGGAAATGCTATAAAACAATTTCAGACTGACTTGTAAATTCAGAACATTTATGATGGCTGTGGAGAATCCAAGTTGTCTTTCAGGTTTATAGGCCTGGCAGCTGGAAAGGAACAGCTTGTAAACTGAAATTCTGATTTGGAAAACGTGGAGATGAAGTAAATATGGAACCTGAAGTGACATTGCTAGTCAGCTTTGACACTGTCACTGCCCTGTGATCCTCCTCACGTTCCTGTTTTGTGCAGTGTTCTTTCCATCGCAGTGCCGTGTCTGCGGTGCCACAGACACACAAAGTACTGTACAAACATTTTAGACACAAACTGTTACTCTGAGGATTTTGCAAACAACTCTCAACAATTTGTTAGTTATAAAGGATTATCGTGAGGAATTTGATTAAAATCCATAATGTCTAAGAGCATGTGAAGATACGTCGACAGATGTGCGTGATTTTTAGTCTGTACCTTGTTCACGCTGGGTATGTAAATGACAGAAGGAAATTCTAGCAAGATTCTTTGAAACTTGGGTGACAGATTTTTTTCCTTTAATCTCCAGTTTTTAATTGGAGCAAAGAACAAACAGCCGAACAGCTTTATCAAGGAAAAGAGACGTAATTCTTTTAAATTAAGGTCTAAATTAAGTCATGATGTGCTAATCAGTTCTGTAGCAATACTAATAATGAGGGTTTTATATCATTAAATGTTGAAGCCCAAGCCCTCAGGAGACCAGATGTTCTGTGTATGCTTGACACCAGGCTTGACAGAAACTTTTAGCACAGGAGGATTGACACGTCCCATTTGGACCTCAACAACAACAGTCCTGAAGCTATATACAGAGTTTTTCGATTTGTGAGATCTTTTTAAGCGGATAAGATGGAGTTTGTTGCTGGGCAAGGAGTTCCAGCTGGGTGGTGGTTTCTTCAAGAGGCTGTAGGTTGTTCGATGCCTGTTGAACACGGCAAGCACCACTGTCAGATGCTGCGTTTTGCTCTGTTCTGCCGTGGCACTTGTGGTAATGCCTCCTGTCAAAGGTCAGCTGAAGCCTTGACATTCTGACCCTGCATCTCCCCTCTGCTCTTCATCTGCTGCACAGCTGAATGATTTCAGAAGCTCTGTGGAGCTCCTTTCTGCTTTCTCAGTCCTCTTTCATTTGCTTCTGGTTTTCACTGAGCTGTTCATGGACAGCACATAACAGAATTCTGATTGCGTGAGATGCTGATGTTTTACTTGTAGATACAGTTTCTAAACACAGAAATACAGATTTGAACTGCAGTTATTTGAAGCCAGTCAATCTGCTGGTTTGGTTTTGTTTCTCCTGCTGTGTTGTTATGTTTTTTTCACTGGACTCAGAAGTAGAATGTTACACTGTCATTCGAATTGAATTTCATGGGAACGAGAGTTTGTTCAGGAAGCAGTTCGCCCAGGACATGCATACTTGTAAGCAGAGGTGATTATTTGGAATGGTGGTGTCACTTCTCACGTTTCTTTTCTAGGCCTTTATTAGACGCTGTTTAGCGTACCGAAAAGAGGATAGATTTGACGTCCACCAGCTGGCTAATGATCCTTATCTTCTCCCTCACATGAGGAGATCAAATTCTTCAGGAAACTTGCATATGACTGGGCTAGCAGCATCCCCTACACTGCCTACTTCAAGCATTATTTCATACTGAAATTTCTCCAGCCGAGGACCGGCACGATACCTTTGTGTAGTTTCCAGCCGCAGACTTTTGAGCTTGAAAGCATTTGAGTGTTTGTACACGGGACGAGTTTGATAACTGTGTTTTCAGACTGAAGTCCTCCCACATAGTGTCATTTTATGATTGGAATGGATCATGGACTGTGAATAAACGTACCCTTCTGAGAAATACCTGTAAACACTGAAGGATGACGCTGCCTGTTGCACACTAGCAGGTATACTGTGTTTGAGACTGAAGAAGAAAGGTTTTTAGTTTTTTCTGGGGAACATTGTAAATAATCTTTTTAATACTTAAAGTACATTTGGTTGATACTGGAAAGCTCTAACATGAAGGGTAGTTTTTCATTATTTAAATTAAAAAAAAAAAGGTAGTGAGCCAATTTAAAAACACAGGAAAAATACCATGCCTGGTTATAAACTAAATAAACTGCCATCTTTCCGAGACATTGATCTTTTGAAACCAAAGGAAGGAGTGCGAGGCGCTCACAGATAGGTTCTGTATCAGATTCCTCAGATAAAATTGCAGTATTTTATTTGGCAACTCATGCTCGTACCTCCAAAAATGCGGTGGTGTTTCACTGAACGTAGATTGAAGGGTGATGCAGGATTCCTGGTACTTATTTCTCAAATTGGTCGCTAATTTTGAAATCCACTCATTTTTCTAAAAATTCTGTACTTGCTGTGGTATTGAAACTTGTGAAACTTTCCAGGCTTCAGACAAAAGCCAGCAGCAGTATGGAACCAAATGCAGACAGGTCATGTATAATGTTCTATGCAGGAATAATGATAAATTCCCTTCTAGCTCTATTGTAAATTGTTGTACAGATGTCACATTTTCAGTTAAATTTCAGCAACTTATTCCTGTACAAATGTTTAAAGTATGGCTTTTTCTAATTGGATCTTGTATTTTTTTTAAGTCTCCCTCAAGGCGCTTTCAATTGCTGCTAAATGACGTTGCTTTTCCTTTCGCGAAAGAATCAGATGACCTCCTTAAGGTGCAAGTCAACTGTGTGCTAAGAAAGGTTAAGAGCAGGTGATTCATTAACAGTCGAGGCAGGCAAACCAGACCTGTGTTGGCCATGCACAGAGCAGTTCTGCAAGCCAGCTTGCTGCGTCCTCAACCTGCAGAGCGCATTGATGCTCAATGTAGAGGTTGCTCATGGTTATTCTCTTATTGCTGGAAGTTCCTATCAGCAAGGAAATGTTTCTTGTGGCTTGTACAGATATTTTAAAATGTGAAACATTTTCTAACTGCCTTGTATGGTAGAAACTTACTTTTCAGAACAGCGTCTCTCTCTCCCGTTCACTGTTCTTTTTACTATTTCATCCTTGATACTGAATAACTCTCTGTAATTTTGTCCATGTTGCAGAAAAAGGAGGCTGTATTACCACAAGTTTTCATTTAGTATTGTACAGTTAAACCGTTGCTCTCGTTTCTGATGTCGCAAGCCATTTTGTTTTCATTGTACATAAAGAAACATTAACTGTCTCTTTTAAGATGCTGCTGAAATTGTAGAGAATGTAGCCAAAACAGTAATAAAAAATGACAGTTGAAATTTCAAGGGTTTTGTCGCATGTTTTTGCATTTCAATGAAGGGCAAATCAGCTACACTTGGCTGTTTAGAGCAAACTCTGTTTAGTGACAAACAAAAGGCCAATAATGGAACAATTAATTCAAGTAACATTGGGGGTGAAAGGGGAGGACTCCGTGAAACTTAAAACCTCGTCATTGTGAAGTCACCAAAACATTTCAGTGAGCGGATCTCACAGAAACAGCTTTTTAAGTATTTCAGTGGGTCCTTCTAGAATTCTTTAACCATGGAATAAAATGAGCTCATAGGATGAAGTTAGACTCAAATAGTCACTCTTTCTGCCTTATATTACACCAGAGTACTGGGACTGCATCGTTTTCACCCTCTGCAGTGTGAGACTGAATGCAGGGTTCAAGGAGAAGGTGCCATAGCTGCAGGCTCACGTTGGGTTTCATTCCTCCTTGTTCTGCATGTGTCAGTATCAGAAGTGAACTCGAAGAATGTTTTGCGTAAGGAAAAGCTGTAGGATGGTGTTAACTGCATTTTTATTTATCTGGAATCCGTTGTGGTTACTCCTAGTAAAAGGAAGTTTGGCAACATGTTAGAGAACTCCTTAAGTAACTGGAAGTTCTGCAGCAACCTAAAAGTAAGGAGGTTTATGTATTGCACTAGTTACATGCAGACTTGTTTGTCCTGCTGTTAGCATCTGGGAACAGGTTGTTGCGGCTAAGTATATGACACTTACTCCATCTTCTCAAATACCAGACATTTCTGAAACCTGAACACTCACTCCAAATAAAATTCCATCTAGAAATACATGAAAGAGAAGGAGAGTCCCCATCTCATCCTTTGAATCAAAGTTGCAAGAGATTTTTACCTTCAGTACCTTCAGAGTTTGTGTTAGCATCTTACAGTACTGTTAATAAAGGTTTAGTGTCCCCAAGTGGAGCCATTCTGCGGTCACAAGAAGACCTCTGCGTTAATGTGTCTGCTGCCTGGTGTTCTGCAGTTTGTGCTAAGGATGGAAATGTCCTGGAGGCTGGGTCTGGAAGCCCAAAGAGCTGCTGCTCGTGGAGGGATGCCGATCCTGCGTCAGTAGTTCAGTCTGCGTCTCGTGCACGTTTCACTCGTTTGATCGTGTGTCATCCACCCCTCGGTTTCCTAAGCTTGCTTCTCATTTAGCAGCAGGTACACAGAAGAAGTTAAACTTCATCAGGCAGTCTCTGATGAAACTCGGAAATAAAAAGCTTCCTTTAAAGTCATAAATACTTTAAAGTTTCTGCATTTACTGGAAGATGCTGAAATACTGCATTGCTGTATAATTTTAAAAAAACCAACTGTGTATGAAACAGAAGAAGCTAGAAGAAGTTCTGACCTTTTCCCTATGATTATGGTGCTACGGGTCATTGCAGCCAGTTAACAATGGTTGGCTTTTTCTGGAAAACAGCCATGCTTTGGCACTATCTTCTTTCATTTATATTTGCACCGAAATTGTTCAGATTTCAGTGTGGAACATTATTCACCCTTAACTTGGTCTGTGCTGGTTGATCGATACCGTTTATCATGGAGGCGAGGTAATGGTTTAATTTTCTAAAGAGCGCTCGCAAGCCTGGAAGGACCTTGCATTGCTGGCCGGCTGCCTGGGTGCTATTGACGGTGCACACTGTGGCTACGAGCAAACCGCCGCATAATTAGAGAGGCTTTCAAAAGCCCACAGAGCTGGGAGCCCTCTTGGTGTGCAGCGCACAGGCGCGGGAGGTGCCGAGCCACTGCCGAGGGGTGCTCTGCACCACTGGGACCCCATGCGGGGAGCCAACGATGAGGTCCTTAAGCAGGCGTTCACAGAATCAGAATCACAGGATGTGAGGAGTTGGAAGGG